ATATATATATATATATATATATATAAAGTAATTTGTAAATAATAAAATAACATAAAAATAATAATAGTATATATATTTTTTAATATAAATATATAAAATAAATCAAAATTAATAAAATGATTATTGAGGTGATGTTTATGAAAAAAATTGATTGGTGCAATTTCCAATAAAATCACACCCCCTGCTAAGGGGTGCCATTAGCACCCCCTGTTTCACAAAAATAAATGGTACAAAAATCAAGGTGATAAAACACAATGATTGATGTCAAATTAAAACCAGTACACCTTTCTAAATTCTTTCACCCACTTGCCTTATTATCGCTAGTCTAGTTCAGTTACGTTTGGGTATGAAACGCACCCTCAAATCACCAGATCCAAACCAATAATGCTATAAAACCTCAAATCACCAGATCCAAACCAATAATGCTATAAAACAAGTACACCCTCCCTGCCCAAATAGAACTGCTTTCTTGATCAAACTTCCCATTTGCTTTCTGGTTCACCAAGTGTGAAGAAGGATGGAGCACACACAAGAGGATGGAGCTGTTGAAGAGACGAACATGGCAGCCTGGCTTTCAGGAATCAAGAAACTTCAAATTCGACCTTACCATCTCCCTCCTTTAGGTAATTAATTAATCATCTTTTCTGCTTTCCCATCTGCAATTATTCACTCCAATTACCCACTTTTTGTTTAGGCCCTAATGATGTTAAAGTCCAGATCAAGGCTCTTGGAATTTGTGGGAGCGATGTGCATCATTTCAAGGTGAAAAAATGGAATTTTAATTCATAGATTGATGATTTGATGTCTGTATTTAATTCATTAACTGTGATATTATTGTGCATCTAGAACATGAGGGTTGCAAATTTCATAGTTAAAAAGCCTATGGTAATTGGTCACGAGTGTGCTGGTATCATCAAAGATGTTGGATCCAGCGTCAAGTCTCTAGCAGTTGGTGATCGAGTAGCCTTAGAACCCGGTATTAGTTGCAACACTTGTAATCTTTGCAAAAATGGAACCTATAACTTGTGTCCAAAGATGAAATTCTTTGGCTCTCCGCCAACCAATGGCTCTCTTGCGAATCAGGTAGTAAAAAAAGCTTTTAATTATTGAATAAATACTTTTTAAGGGGTTGGAATAATGGGGTAAATTTTGTTTTGAAGTAGGTTGTTCATCCTGCAAATCTAGTCTACAAGTTACCTGATAATGTGAGTTTGGAAGAAGGGGCCATGTGCGAGCCACTTAGTGTTGCAGTCCATGCTTGTCGTCGAGCCGATGTCACACCAGATACCAAAGTCTTGATCTTTGGAGCTGGGCCCATAGGCCTGTTAACGATGCTGGCTGCCCGTACATTTGGATCCCCTAAAATCATCGTTGCTGATGTGGATGATTCCCGACTATCATTTGCAAAGCACCTAGGTGCAGATGCCATCATTCAAGTCTCCACGAACATCCAGGTTCTGCACATCAAATACAAATATTTTACATTCATATGGTAAGATATGAAGTTCAACAATACACCTTTTTTTGTGAATGAAACACATATCGGGTGTGATTTTAACAGGATATAGATGAAGAAGTAGCCAAGATTCACAAACTCATGGGTGACGGTGTGGATATTAGCTTTGATTGTGTTGGCTTTAACAAAACCATGTCTACGGCTTTAACTGCCACTCGGTCTGGTGGTAAAGTATGCCTTGTGGGATTAGGACCAAGTCCAATGACCATCCCTTTGGTTCCTGCAGCTGCAAGGTTCTTTTCACACACACAGAGATTAGATACACACATACTAGTTTCAGATTATGACCATTGGTTTCTCTCTTTTGACAATAGGGAAGTTGATGTTATCGGGATATTCAGATATAGGAACACATGGCCAATCTGCATTGAGCTTCTCAGGACCGGAAAGATTGATGTAAAACCACTTATAACTCACAGATACAAGTTTACGCAAGAAGATGTTGAGAAAGCATTTGAAACAAGTGCTCAGGGTGGTGATGCCATCAAGGTTATGTTTAACCTCTGAAATAATGCAGGCTAATGAACAATATACAGATTGGGAGTGGATAAATAAAAAATACGAGATCCATCTGTATGCTACAATCTTAGTCAAGACAATTAGGCAAGATGTATTAGCACTTGAGAATTAGGATGTATTTCCAATGAACAATTAATCCACTTATGCGAATCAGTCCAGTCGAGGTCAAACTAACTGCAATCATACCAAGACAATGAACTAAGTTCTAATACTGAGATTAAATAGAAATCAGATTGTAATGGCAAGTAATATCATGTACTAACCATAAATCTCCACCAATCTTCACCTCGAGTTGCAGTCGTCACACTTCTTGTATCTTAGTGCACTTAAAGATGGATGCAAACAACCTTTGATTGATTAGCTCTTTGCTTGCAGAGAACTCCAGCCAGATGGTTTTACCACATCACCATCTTTCAACATCTTTCGCATTTTCATTGCATCGTCCCATCTCTCTGCACCAGCAAAAATGTTTGATGAGAGAATATAATTCCCACTATTAGAAGGATCCATTTCAAGAAGCCTGTTGGTCGCAATTTTGGATAAGACCATGTTTCCTTGAAGCTTACAGGCACCCAGTAACATTCTCCATATTATAACATCTGGAGCTATCGGCATTTGTAGCATAAACTCATATGCTCTCTCAAGATTGCCCGATCGGCTCAAAAGGTCAACTACACATCCATAATGTTTCATTTCTGGCTGCAATCCGTAATCCCTTTTCATGCTCTCAAAATATTCCAAACCTTTATCTACCACACCAGCATGAGCACAAGCAAGTAATATCCCTACAAACGTTCCATGCGTTGGCTGAATGTTATCCATTAACATCTTGGAGAAGAGTTCAAGGGCATAAATTGCATTTCCGTTCACAGCAAGTCCTGAAATGACAGAGGTCCAGGAAACTGAATCCTTCGTTTCCATCTCTTGAAACACTTGCAGTGCCTTCTCCGTTGAACCACATTTGCAATACATATCTATCAAAGAATTCCCAATGTATACATCCTCTTTTATGTTGTTCTTACGGATATAGTCATGTATGGCTTTGCCCATATCGAGTGATCCTAGATGAGCACAAGCAGAGAGCACACTAGCAACCGTGATTTCATCAGGCTTAACATTAGTTTTCATCATGTCCAGAAAGAGACTCACTGCGTCAGAGAACTGATCACCTCGAGAGTAACCAGTGATTATAGTAGTCCAAGAAATGACATCCCTTTTCGGCATTTGATCAAATAGTTTCCTTGCCTCAGTCAAGTCCCCTGCTTTTGCATAACCAGAGATCATGGCATTCCAAGAAACAACATTCCGTTCCTCCATTTGATCAAATACTTCACGTGCCAACCCCATTGAACCATGCTTTCCGTACATATCAATTAAGGTGTTTCCAGGGTAAACATCCATTCCAACATTATTCTCTTTTATGTACTTGGCCATAAACTCTCCAATACTCTTGTCGCCAACGTTGATACATGCTAATATAACCTTGACCATTGTTACTGAATCAGGGATCAAATCTGCTTTTCGGAGAAGGTCAAAAAGCCGTAAAACATCCTTAGATCTGCTACATTGACTATATCCACAAATCATTGAATTCCATGAAACTAAGTCTCTCTCAGGCATTTCGTCAAACACTCTCTTGGCACATTCCAACTGCCCACATGAAGCATACATATGAATAAGAGAGTTACAAACATAAAGATAGGATATGAACCCCATCTTAAACGAAAGAGCGTGAACTTTCCCTCCAAAACCAGCATCTTGAGCACGACCACAAGCTTTTAAAACATATATTGAGGTCAGGTTATTACCCATCAATCCTCGGTCGCGCATTTCATCGAACAGCTGGAGTGCAAAAATAGGACGATTGCTCTGCGAATAGCATCGGATCACAATGTTCCAAATCGACAACGTGGGTCTTTCAATTCGGTCAAATACAAAAAGGGTTGTGTGCAAATGACTCGGCCGAAGAGAGTACGATCGAATTACATCGAATATCGACGATGGGTCAGTGTGGCGGTTAGTTTTAATCAATCGAGCGTGAAGCTCTCTAACAAAAACCAACTTCTCCATCAACCCACGATTAATCAGGGATCTTTGAATAATTGAATATATGTCTTCCTCAAATTAAAAAAGAATCTCAATATTATTAGTTGAATAGTGACACGATGATTGATGAATGGAAGAGTCTGAAGATAAGGTTCTCAAGTTTCTGTCTCTCTCTCAAAAGAAGAAAGGGGAGGGAGGTCGGACAAACAAACCACATCTCATGTAGGTTGAGGAGAAGACATGGACGGTGCCTGCCATTTTAATTCAGACGTAATTGCTACTTACACCCCAACTAATCAATTGAAAGGATACAATTTTATAAAAAAAATTGTTTTAGTTAAAATTTTGTTACATAATATTTATATTTACAGTAAACTAGAAGAATACTCGTGCAATGCAACGAAATACATCTTGATTTTAATATTTTTTATTATTTATCTCAATCAATGTTATAGTATGGTCTTATGTGATTTAAAAAAAAACGATTATGTTTTTGTTTTTAAATAAAATATAAATTTGAATATATCATAAAATTTTGACAAAAATATATCGATAATAGTATCAAATTAAAATTTCTATTTTTTTATAATTTTTTAAATCAATTTTTTTATTATAATTTAATTTAAGTTCAATAACGAAGTAATTTATATTTGGTTTAATAATATAATTTTCTTATAAGGATAATAATTAATTATTTTGTTAGAACTTGATAATATCCTAATTATATTTTAGATTTTTATATTTTAAAATGAGATGTTTATCCTCTATTTGATTATGTTTATCCGCAGTTAGTTACACGAATTCAAACATGAAGCTTTAATAAATTGTATTATGCATAATTTACTTGTAATTTTGAATTTTAAGTAATATGTATAAAAAATGGTTTTTAAGAGTTTTTATCAAATGTTTTATATTATAGTATAGATTAAAAATTGTGATTTTGTTCTTATGGTTTCAAAATTTCGATTTTCATCCATATGGTTTCTAATTTATTTCTATTTCCAAAACACTACTTTTAAGTATGAAATACTAAAATAGAAATGAATTTTAGGGACGAAGAAAACAATAAATTTTAAAGCATAAATACAAAAAAAAATAATGAATTATAAACCATAAGAATAAAATTTATAAACTATATTTCTTAATACTGACTATCTCTTAGGACATCTCTAATATATGATAAGGGTATATTTCAAATGCAACTATGTTCATTTGTACAATCAATGTAACTCAATCGATTTGAGATATTTATGAAAATGATGAAAGTTCATTCATTAATTATGATTAATATTTTATATTATAAAAAATCAAAACTTTTATGAAATCACACATTCATAAAGTTAAATGAATAGTTAAGATTGAATTATATTGGTTATACAAATATAAAAGGTTGTATAATAACTCACCTTTAAATGTTAGATACTCTTTAAAAAAAAATGAAATGTTAATTGGTTTTTGAGTCGTGTGATGTTATTAATTAGGACTTCTGTGGCGTGCAGAAAAGAAAGAGATAAGATTATGGACACTATATGTTAATATTCTTATGCTGATTGATTATTAGATAAATACTAAATAAAATAAAATAATTAAAATAAGAAATAGATGGAAAATGGGTGCGGTTCAGTCAGTGGGTGGGTTTATAGTTGAGATCTTCCATTTTTTATGGTCAAACGTGGCTTGCGGTTGTAAGTCTCCCCCACCCATCCCCATTTCCTCTGTTTCATTGTGAAATGTTTCAAAATATATTAAATGTTAGCTTTAAATGAAAAAAAATCATGTAAAACAATACCTTAAGGTAATAGTTCCGACGATTATAAAAATATATGAATTTTTAAATGATTAAACTCATATGTATAATTATATATAAGACCGTGTTCCGGTGAAAAAAGAAGTTATGGTGATCCTCAAATCAATCATAATTGAATATCAACATTAATTAGGTGCACCAAGATGTATCGTATCAATTCTTTTTTAAAGCACAATTCATGGATGGATATAAGATTAAAAGTGATCAAAGGTTCAGATCTCTTCTTACGCTTTTCACAATAACTTCATTTCTCACACGATTCTTCGTCTATATATACAAGCGAAAGAACGTTTGAGAAAAAGAATTAAGATTAGAAACGTAAGAAGAAATTTGAACATTTGATCACTTTTAATCTTATACTCATCCATGAATTGTACTTTAAAAGGGAATTGATCAGGTACATCTCATTATTGTTGACATTCAATTAGAATTGATAAAATATTAAAGACTTTTTTTACGATACTCATCGTTACTTCTTTTCTCATCGAAACCCGACCCTATATTTAGATAAAACTAGTGCTCGGCACCGTATCATAACACATGCCAAGTAATACACAAAAAATTATGAACTACATCAATATCTCTATACTTCAAAACTGAAAATACTAAAATTTCATAGTGCATTTGTAACCCTTCTAATATTTCAAGGCATCTCTTCTCGTTTCATATACTTAACTGTTTTTCAGTAATTTCTTTTCTCATTAATATAGATTAAGATTCAAGTCAAATTCAACCATAATTCATGATTTGAAAATATTAACTTCTAATTTGTCACGTCAATATCTTATATTTTTTTTTTTGTAAAAAGAGAATTAACCAAAAATCATATGTTAGGAGGGTCGGCCAAACAAGTTAAGCACCATGAGTTTAGAGAATAATTTAAGGGAGTCAGGTTTATGAATTGCTATAGAGACATCTTAATATTTCATTATATATGTATCATTTAGTGTCAATCTTTTATCTATACCTATTAATATGAAATAGACAAAACTCAATCACAATTCAAAATTTAAGAATACTAAATTTTAGGGTGTCACATTGATGGTTGTGGTTCTTACTTTTAAATATATAAAGAATAAAGATTATATATATGATTAATTTTAATATTGATTAAACTTTCTTGCAAAAAGAGAGTTGGGAAAAATAAAAAAACCCCATGTGTTCGCAGGGTCGGCCAAAATGCTCTAACCACGAGTGTTAAGAGAATCAAGCAAGAGGAACCAATCTCATGAGTTTAGAGGGTTAGCCAACATGAACCAGTGATATGAGTTTATAGCATTAGCCAAAGAACCAACCCCACGAGTTAAAATAAAAACACATCAACCTCCTCCTATATATCTATCATCAATTGTCTATCTTTCATCTCTCTATCAATGTGGGATACACAAACTCAACCTCAATGCAAGAAATATATAATACTCAATCCTTAGGATGACACATATTTTCTTGTGAATCTTACTTATATAGAGAGAGAGCCCTATATATAAAGATTTTTTTTTTATAAAGATGACTTTTTGCAAACAAAGGGTTGGCCAAAACGAACCAACCCCATGAGTTTAGAAGGTTAGCCAACATGAGCTAACGATATGAGTTTATAGGATTATCCAAGAGAATTAAACCCCATGAGTTAAAACAAAGACACATCAACTTCATCTTATATACCTACCATCAATAGTCAATCTTTTATCTGTTCATCAATGTGAGATACACAAAACTCAATCTCTATGCAAAAAATATAGAATACTCAATTCTTAAGATGTCACATCATTTCTTGTGGATCTTAGTTTTATATATAAAGAAGATTTATTGACTTAGAGAGGCCTACCTGTACCGGATAGCTGCTTTGAAACATCACATGTGATTAGCGTTTGGTTAATTCCATCCTTTAATTCGGCAGCTTTGCAAGACTACCGTTTATTCTTTTTACCAACATATATACGTTTTCTTGCACTCTTAATTTAAACATTTATAGTAACAAATAAGTTAATTGTCAAATAAAACGTTTTATTTTCAGTAAAAAAGAAGAATAATTATAGTGATATATATAGAGTTTAAATAGACAACCATGATGGCCACGGTGTGTAACTCTCTATAAAACCTTGCATGCCCACCTTCTTATCCCATCACCCCCAAAAGTCTCCCCACTACTCTACTCTCTCTCTCTCTCTCTCTCTCTCTCTCTCTCTCTTTCTCTCTCTCTCTCTCTCTCTCTGTGAGAGAGGGAAGAAGATATGGGTGATGAATTGATGAAAGCTAGAGGAGTAGCAAAAACAGTATTAGGCATAGCAGATGCAGTTTCTTTTTACTGTGCGATAACGATAGTTGCCCTCATGCTGACCGGTGCTTTCAGAGGTGATGACAGTTATGGGCTTACCACCACCACCAGCACCAGCAGCGTCAGAGTGACAGGCGGAGGAGGAAACAGACGTCCATGTGATGAAATATATGTGGTGGGAGAAGGAGAAACGCTTCATAGCATAAGCGACAAGTGTGATGACCCGTTTATAGTTGAAAAAAACCCGCATATCCATGACCCGGATGATGTTTTCCCTGGCCTCGTCATCAAGATCACCCCTTCTTCTTCTTCTTCTTCTGGTACATGATACTTCACTTAACTCATCACCACCCTTCTTTTTTTAATTTGATCTCCCTCGCTATATATATATATATATATATATATATATGGAGAAGATGTGGAGAACTGAAATCGTAATATATATATATATATATAGATATAGATATTAGTGTGTTTCTTTTTATAATTTTTTTAAAGTATGTATGCATGTATATGGATCAAGTTTTCTCCAATTCATCAAGGAATTTAATGTGTGTATAATATATAAATAAAATATTGAGGTTCAAGTATATAAAAGCATTTGTTGATATTTGGTTCAGTCATCCGATTAATTATAAAAGAATATATATTTAATAGTTTGGAAAACGAATATTTATATATATATATATATATATATATATATATATATAGGGGTGTCTTCAAATAAAAACCATTCAATTTGTAAAAACCGTGAAAACCTCATTCAACCAATCATATTTTTTCATTTTGTTCATTTTTTTGTAATTATGAGAGGTTGATTAACCATTTTTATTGTGGAGGGTGTTAATCATGAATATTATCATCTTCATTTTTAATTTTAGATAAATACATGAAACAGTTTCATTAAAATTTCATTAAGTAGTATATGAAACAATAACTTCATCAAAAAAAGTATTATATGAAACAATTTCACAAGATTAATAATTTCATGAAAAAATTTCATAAGATTAACGACGGATGAGAGTAGTTTTTACGGTTTTTACAAATTAGAGTGGTTTTCATTTGATCGCTTATATATATATATATATATATATATATATATATATATATATATATATATATAAAAGCAATTCAAGTTAAAAAAACGGGGAAGATAATTGTATAGTTTGTTTCAGAATGAAATGATTGGAATCACAAATATAGATCTCCTATTGCAAAAGTGTGGAGGGTTATTTAAGGGGAGTGCTAATGGCACCCCCTTTCATGTCAGAATCAGGTTATTTCAAGCATTGGGAATGTAAAAAGCATGTATTGATGTTGATGTGTGTGAGAAAGAAATTCATGGTAGGGGTGCTTTAAGCAATGCATAGAGGTGCATTTAGCCCACCCCTTATTTAACTCAACAGCAGAAATATTTCTTTTTTTCTTTAATTAAGTTTGTATTTGATTATGTAAATAAGATTATACATACACAGAGAGGATGTTATTCATACAAATCAATTAATTGAGATGTTTATAAAAATAATAATGATTAATTCATTATAATTTAAATATTTATAGAAGATAAGTAGAGGGTATATGGTTTGTAGATTTTGAAGTAATCTAATGGAATTGGAATGTCAAATTTCATTGATCAAATTTTATTCTTTCGTTTAGTTCTTTTTTTTTTCATGAAAGGAATATTCAAAATTCTACAAATTTCACAAATAAAAAAATTTAGCATTGCTTAGCAACTACATGATATTTTGATGGAATAAAATTATCTATCTTCATAATATCAAATGTGTCATTAACTCAATATACTATGATATCATAAAATCCAATATGACCATTTCCGGCCACCGTTGATCTAAATCACCGCTGACCAACAACCTGAACCACCGTCGACCACCACTGCTGATCTAAACCACCGCCATCTCCGACCACTATCGATTTAAAACCACCGATCTGATCCGAACTTCCATTGACCATCACCAATCTAAACCACTGTCAACCATGACCATCTGAACCACCACAAACCATCATCAATCTGACCCACCACCAACTACTACCGATCTGAACCACCGTCGACCATCACCATTCTGAACAACCACCGATCTGAACCACCCCTGATCTAAACCATCGTCGATCTGAACCACATCCGACTACCGCCACCTGAACCTCCACGGACCACCACCGATCTGAATCACCATCGAATATCGCCGACCACCAACGATTTGAACAACCACGTATCTAAACCACTGGTTCCACCGCCGACCTGAACCACCGTCCATCTGAACCACCACAGACCACCGTCGATCTGAACCACTGCCAACCACCGTCAACTGCGGACCACCACCGATCTGAACCACTATCGATATAGTAACGTCATTTGGCTTATGGTTGAATAATTATTTTATTAAAATATTTTTAGTTTTTAAAAAATTAAAATTTTCGATAAGTGCATTTTGGCCATTTACCATTATTTCATTCCAATTTCAAAGCTACATATATGAACCAAACAGAGAGATTTCAATTTCTTAACAAATTCCTTTTCAATGTTTGTCAGACAAACGAGTGGTTAAACCTGACAACGTTTCACTCCAATTCATTCAAAGTCAAATTCCTTTAACATATTCTATTTTATCAAAAAAACATTCTACGAATCAAACGTCACTTTAGAGTTCATTAATTATAATCAATGTTTTATATTAGATTATAATTGAAATATTTATGAAATTAAAATTTATTAGAGTGCATGATCCGTTGAGATTGGTTGCATAATTTGTATGAATGAAATGGTTTATATTTAAAACACTCTCTCTCTCTCTCTATATATATATATATGTGTATATGAGAAAGAGAGAGAGAGGATATTTTTGATCCATGTGAGATCTAATGTAAGATAGTTATGTTATTGATTAAATAAATATAAAATAGTAATTTAGTAATAAAAATAAAATTACAACTCAAAGACTTTTAATAAATTTTATTCGCTCATAAAATAATTAATCCATGATTTCCATAAACAAGAAATCAATAGCTCCATAAAAATATTGATTCATATACTACTAATAAAAGACTTTTGTTTACGGATTTTTATCTGTGAAATCTGTCGTTAAAAGGTGATTCGTCACAAGACCGTCACAAAAGTTAGTGGATAAATTGTTAGTGGATAATTCAAACCAGCATCAGATTATACAGGGATTCTCTAAATGATTCATTGGTATTTTCTCAAAAAACATCGAATTTCATCGAACCATTGTTCTTTTTTTATTAACCTGAATATCCAACCCGCTATGCGAGCCGACTAATCCTAGGACGACCACCGCATTTGATCCTCCATGGCCACAAGTGAATTTTAAATGCTCATTGGATTTGAACATGAGACCTCCTGATACTTTTGACCTTTGGAGTCAAGTTCAAACCAATCAGGCACTACCTTTGTGGTTCTATTGATATTTTCTGGGTGATTACCGACGGAAATTTGTCTGAATAATTTTTTTGGGTAAAGTCATTTGTTTTGTAGTGATCGTTCACGATATTCATCAAAGTCTGTAAACAATATATTAATTTGTACTTTTTTGGTTTTTTGTTCTTAATGTTGTTATGTTCACAAAACGATCACAATGTATATATAATAAGGTGGCCACAATATTTAATTGAACATGTATCACAAGGCGTTCACAAGATGTAATACAATGACAATGTATCACAACACCCAAGTGGAAAGGAAAAAGGAGATATAAATTTTGTAAAATACCTATATTATCTTTTATTTAAAATTATTAATTTTCTAATTTAACCTTTGATACAAATTAGTGGTATTTATTGTCTAAAAAGATTACGATCTGTTCATGATACAAAACGAGATGAAATATTGAAACCCCTGTCCAACAAAAAGGTTAAGAAGTTGAAGACCACCATCCAAAATCCTTTCATGGTCTTGTAATCCAACGTTAAATATGTCTTTACCGAATTAACGATCTCGATTCAAGAACAATAAATATTCATATTTTGAGTCTTAATGTTGACCTTTGTGTTCATGAAAGTTCCATGTTTCGTCATAATAAAGGTTTTAAATGACGTGACAACGAAATCAAACCTCAAAATCATAAGAGTCAATTATATTGAACAATTTATAATTTCATATATATATATATATATATACACACACACACACACTCTAGAGTTGTGGTTGTTGGTTAGAACGTGAGAATAAAACCTCAATTTATGTACTTTTATCTTGAAATTTCTACCATTACGGCTGAAATTTAAACTAATTTATGCATGCAAAAATGATTAAAAAAATACGTAAAAAAAATCATGAATGTGAGAGAAAATGAAGTTTAAGGTTGATAAAAATGAAAAGGTTTTTTAAGAAAATAACTTTTAAAAATAAAAAGGTAGATGTCATGATTCACGAACATTTAATATAAAGATGAAAGCAAGAATAGCATCCGTGTTCCCAACATCTTTATCTATACTATATTATAAAACATTTGATAAAAACCCTTAAAAATCATTTTTTACAATAATGTATTGTTTATTGATGTATATTAATTAAAATTCAAGAGTACAAATAAATTGTGCATAAATACAATTTATTAAATCTCCATATTTAAATTTGTGTAATTAACTGCAGATAAACATAATTAAATACAATATAATCTTCTTATTTTAAATATAAGAAATCTAAAATATAATTAGGATAATCATTGAGTTCTAACAAAATACGTACTTATTATCTTTATAAAACATTTATATTATTAAATCAAAAATAAATTACTTCGTTATTGAACCTAAATAAATTATAAAAAAATGAATTAAAGAAATTACATAAAAAAAACTATAACTTTTATATATTTAAAAAAAAATTACGATATCTTCAAATTTATATTTTATATAAAAATAAAAACATTATCAATTTCTTAAAACCATATAAAACGGTATTATAACAACGGTAAAGACAAATAATAAAACGAAACATTAAAATCGAGATACATCTCGTTGCGTTGCATGAGTACCCTTCTAGTTTATACTAATAAATCACTTAATTGAATACACACATACCATAAAACTTACGATATGCTTAATATTATACATGTCAAAATCTCACCTAAATTTGTGGTCACCAAATAAAATACTAGTAAAATTACCTATAATGAATTGTAACAGATCGTCTCATATGAATCTAAAATGGGGTTTGTGATTTCTTTATAAGTTTAAAGTTGTGAGATACCAATAACTTTCATAATGGTTTTAAATTAGATTTGAATTTACTGCGTTAGCATGTTGTTTCAGGCTTTGAGGTGTTAGGAATGTATCTAGTTCATTGATTTAACATTTCATGTATTTAATAAGGGTTAATTTAGTCCGACTCTTGATCATTTAAATATTATATTATTGTTATGTGTACTTCATCGAAAGGTTTGTCACAGATTAAAGAGTTGTACTTTGTTTCCACGATATTAAATTAAAGATGAGTCGGGCCGAATGGGGTCGGCCTCGGATCCCACCTACAATTTTGTCAATTATTTTAAAATCATTCATTATTATATGATGACTATCGTCTTTATTTTACACATAATCACTCATTTATTTATTTTATTCTCTGTCATCTAGTCTTGTTCCAATGTAATTGATCACCACCGACTCTTCTAAATAATGAACTTCGATAACAACGATATAATTTTGGTTTAACTGACACCACACACGTACACTTTTATTTGTCCCTTTTTTTAATTGTGGATGAACGTATCAACTTGTGCGTACCTCGACTAATTCCATAGGCCTTGGAAAACAGTTAAAAAAATCCTTAATTACCTTGTAGAATTTGAACTAGACGATAAGCTTGTAAATTAATAGAATAAATAATCTTATAAACATATGTATTAACTATAAAATACAAGGTTATGGATATTATTTTTATTTGTTTTATATGTTTTATCAACCAAATATATTGGTAAAAATATATGTTATACATCTATACTATATTACAAAGTATTTGATAAAAATTCTTAAAAATCATTTTTTTTTTTTGCATTAGGTACTGCTTGTTGATGCATATTACTTAAAATTCAAGATTACAAGTAAAATTGTGCGTATATACAACTTATTAAAGCTTCATGTTTGAATTCGTATAACTAATTACAGACATATGACATCGATGGAGACAGAATAAAATATGTATCTCGTTGCATTGCGCGAATATCATTCTATCTATACTATATTATAAAGCATTTGACAAAAACTATTAAAAATATTTTTTTATGCATAAAATATTATTTATTGATGCATATTAATTAAAATTCAAGATTACAAGTAGAATGTGCATGAATACATATTATTAAAATTTCATGTTTAAATTCGTGTAATTAACTGCAGGTAAACATAACCAAAATACATCATTTTAAATATAAAAAATCTAAAATATAATTAAGATAATTATTGAGTTATAACAGAATATTGATCTTTAAAAAATTATTTTATTAAACCAAAAATAAGTTAATTTGTTTTTAAACTTCAATTAAATTATAATAAAAAATTGAATTAAGAAAATTACACAAAAACGATAACTTTTAAATATTTAACTTGATACTAACATCGCTTATTTTTTTTTCAAAATATTATAACATCTTCAAATTTATATTTCATTCAAAAATAAAAACATTTTATTTTTTTCTCAAAACTACATAAAACACATTATAACATCAATTGACCCAAAATATAAAACGAAACATTAAAATCAAGATGTATCTTGTTACATTATACGATTATCCTTCCAATATAATAAAAATAAATAAACATAAAGAAGGAAAAATAAAATTAATAAAAGCAAAAGAAGAAGAGATGGGCAAATGAATTATAGATATATACGTATATCTATTTTTGGTGAATTTGTTAAAGCAGGCTGCTGCCCCTACAATTATTGCCTTTTTTAGTCTTTGCAATCTTTTTCTTTAAACTGCAAACTAAGGATCGTAATTATAAAAGTAATAATGATTTATGAATAATAAAAGATTAAATAAAAAAGGATCGAAACAGAACGTTGGATAAGTTATGACGGCTTTTCACTAAAATTGTTCACGGATGAGACGACATGTTAGATCCCACCTGAAAACAAATTTGTATAACCAGTCTTGAAGAAATCGATAGGCCTGAACTGATTTGTTAAAATTAATGGGTGGACATAGATAATAAAAAAAATATTTTAACATTACCATTTTCCTTATCCTTCTTCCCGGTTCCCACTTATGACTTATCCCATTTCCCCAATCGACATTCTTTGGTTCCACAAAAATAATGGAGAAAACGTGTTAAAACCTCTATTATGGACCTAGCATTTGGGAGTTGGGACCAACAGAACGAGCACGCAAAATAAATCAAAAAACGCATCGATTATTTCTAGAGTGTCATATTTGATGGGTATTTTTTTTAATTCATATTCGTTCGTTATTTTCATAAAAAAGAATGTTTTTTTCTTTTTCTATTTTAAAAAACAAGATTTTTTTTTTCATATTTAAATAAAACTTTATTAAAACCAAATGTAAATTTTGGAGATTTTAATATTTAATTCCTCGTTTAGAATTAAAAAGAAAATCTATTTTAGATATTCTCTTATTACACGTCCAACTTTTTTGTCGTTTTTAATAGAAAAAAAACATAAAATATATGATAATTATATATATGTATATATATATGTCAGTAACCTTAGGTAGTTGGGTTTAGCCGTTTACTAGAAAAAGGATGAAGACGGGTCAACTCAGCCGAAATGGAACGGCAAAGCCTCGTCGTCAAACCCAATACTCTCTCACGCAACTTACACGCCCACCTATATTACATAACCCATCATCTTTCCTCTCTATCTCTCTCTGTGTCTATATATTCTCCGATCAGTTCATGGCTTCATCAAGGTCTCCGGTGACCTACGCCGATGCAGCTCAGTGGTACTGTATCATATTTCTTGTGCTTCTCGTCTTGTTAGGATCTTTTACAGAAGAGAACTCTCTCATCAACAAAACAAATTCGACGTCGTATCACGCCTGCGATGAGATTTATGTCGTCGGAGAAGGCGAAACGCTGAACACCATCAGCGATAAGTGCGGTGACCCGTTTATTGTTGAAGAAAACCCACATATCCATGACCCGGATGACGTATTCCCTGGCCTTGTTATCAAGATCACCCCTTCCAGTCCCCGTAATTAGAAAAATATACACTTCATACCCCCAAAGTTTTACTTTTTTTGTTAATGCCATAAAAAGATAGTTTTTTTTATCCAACAGACATACTTTTCCATTTCACTTTATTTTTCCCCAATATGAACTTAGTTTAGATTATGTGATAAAACCTATTTCCTTTATACTTCTAGTAGTCTGTTTGTATCGTAGTCGGAGCTGTAAATACAATAAATTTAGATTAGACTGGTCCAAAGATAGTTATCAATTTTTGCACGACTTTGTAATCCATGATTGTGACTACATCAAAAATAATGTTTTCGTGTGCAAAAACAGACTATTTTGTCTTTCTTGCTTGAGTCGGAAATACTTCATTTTCAAGATACTATTAGTAGTTATAAATCGATCATTTAAAACTCTTCGTCATTAATTAACAATCAGGAAACTACAATCTTGTGGGTTCTTCTCATCTTGTAACATGATAACCACACATTCAATAACCAAGTATCATCGATCATTTATGTGGCTGCTATTGTTCCAAACATCCTTTTTTGGAAAGTATTATGCACTAATCACGTAGTTGTATCTCGTGTTCCAAAGACAACTTATGGGCATTTACTAAACGCTTACCAGTGTCACTTATCTTATTAGGTGAACATGACAATGACCAAGAACCTTACCCAATAAATGAGGGAGTTTACCTTGTAAAAAACGGTTACCAACAATTTATTTTAATGGTTGATAATATGACTCGATGATAGTGACTCTTGACGATAAGTGTTTATCCGGCAATTAATGTTTGGTAATTGGTCCCTTAATCAATTTATGAGGTCTTGATTAATCTTTATGTAATTAGAAAATCAAAAAAATAAATGGTTAGGGTGTGGAATCTGGAATGGAAGATGAACTCGAAATGAAATTGTTCCAGAGGGTGGTTACAAAATGGGCCCATTATACTCTCTTGGTGGGCCGATTGATAATCTGAGGCCTTGTTTGATTAATGTTTTTACCAGCCCAACTATTTCCGAGCGTGATAATATCATATTTAGCTCTAAATGCAATTCATATTTTTTATTTTTTAAAATCATATCATTATATTTTTATTGTTTATTTATTATAGCATTGTATTTTCATATTCTTTTGTGTTAATGCATTGTCTTACGGAAACATACTGGTATCACGTGAACCCAACCATATGTATATTCTCTTTCTTTTGTTAACTAAGTCATTAGTGTTAACTTTGTTAACCAATCTCAAACATCCAAAAAATCAATCAACGGTTAATAAGAAATTAATGTTTTAGAATTACATTTTGAGAGTGAACACGCGCCTCCGAAATGATTTCATAAGTGAACAAGGGTATAATAGTAAAAACATTTTTGGGAGCGAAATTAGGAAATGAGATTTGTTTCCTGATTTCACGGTAACAGCATATCGACTCCGTATTTCATGCAATCTTGAAACCTTGAAATCCATCATCATCATCATCATCGATATCCATCACGTTCATCAATGTATGACCGATTTTCATGTTTGAACAATGTTAATGTATGACCAATGTTCACGTAAGAACAATGACTTGAGCAACCATGTTCACATATGAACAATATTGTTATCAACGATATTCACTTAAAAACAATATTTGGTGAACAATGATGAACTAATGTCACTCTGTAGTTATGAACAACATAAGTGAAGGTGTTCACTTATGAAACCAACATAAAAGCTAATTGACCCATCATTATCTCCCCCTCCGTCAACCACAACCATCTTTGGTCATTGTCTCTCTTACCGTCAACTACCATTTTGTAACCACCAGAAGCCGCTACTTTTTTTCCTGCCTCTCACTTCCATCACAACACCCTCACGACCACCTTCTTTCCTTAACTTTTTAGTATCCCCTCATCATCACCGTCAACATTCAACAGTTCAACACCTCGTCCGATATTTACCGACAACCTTCAACGTCTCCATTCCTCACTTGTAGGCTTCAACCAACTCTGTTGACATCTCCCTTATTCGACACCCTTACTTCATCAAGAGTCGACCTCGTCCTCACACCTGCAACTCCGCTGATGAATGCCATTAACAACTTCTAGAAGAAAAATAAATTATCTAAAACCAATACAATTTAAAAACCATCCATGATTATATGCGAGATAATTAAGGCAACCAACTATCACACGATTTTCTCTCTTTATTTATATATTTATTAACCAGATATTTTTATAAAAAAAAAAAATACCAAAATACCCTCACAATATGTAGCAAACTTGGGATGAAACTAAGTGAGTAGGTGAATTCCTATTGTTCTATCTAGGTTAACAAAGTTAATACTACTGACTTGGTTAACAAAAGAAGATGCCTATACACACACACACACACACATAGTCTACCTATCCAATTAGAAGCGACTGACCATAATTGGATATTCAATTGTAATTGGATTGGATCAAAAGTCTCAACATCCAATTTTGATCGGTCGGTTCTTTGATGACAATTCATAACCGACTAACATTCAATTAACCATCTGATGACCATTCATTTGTCCATGTAACCATTTTCAAATTAAATTGTTTTCAGTTTACTTAAATCGGAGTTTGCTTTGGTTGGTTTTTGAATTTTTAGACTCATTTGTGTTGGTTTAATACATACTAAAAGTGATTAATCAATTTGTTTCATCATTGGAAAATCGGATTGAACACATTGAATGCTGAGATTACGCATTGAATTTCAAAGATTCGGATTTTTAATATGGAAATATACAAAGTAGAACTTTTAAGTTTCCAAAAATTGAAGATACAAATCAAGAAATTGATGAAATCAGTATCGTACAAAAAAAAAAGGTTAACACATTTGATAGATCAAATCCGATCTAATTATCCATTAGATGTCGGATGGATTCGATTCGATCTAATCCAAATAATATTGATTAGATATAATATGATCCAATAGGAATATCCAATTGATGGAACCGAACTGATCAAATCATCAATTGAATTGGATTGGATCG